CCCCCCAGAATCAGTGCAGCCCCCACATCATCAATCCAACCCCCTGCCCTCCAGAATCAGTACAGTCTCCCCAGATTCAGTACAGCTCCCCCCAGCATCAATCCAACCCCCCACCTCACCCTGGTATCACTACAGTCCCCCAGAGCAGGAATATCCCAAAAAATGCTGACAATAACTTTATAAGAAAAATAATGATATACTTCAAATACAGGATTTGTAGGTCTTACTGCATCAAAATATGAATAATGAGTAGATTTATAATTACATGAAAATGCCTCAACGTGATATAATGCTGAAAATGATTTTTGAAAAGTATTCAACGAAAAAAAAAAACAAATATATATATATATATATCCACAATGCATCTAAATCTGTCCTCATATCTCTGTGGGGACTGTCCCTAACAATGATGACCGTAACCCCTACCCCGCGCTAACCTTAACCATAACTAACCAACTAACCAAAGAAAATTCAAGACTGGGAATTTTTAGTTTTTTGATTGCAGTCACAGATTTTTATGAAATTGAGGTTATCCTTGAGGATATCTGGTCCCCAAAATGTAATTATTACACACACACACACACACACACACACACACGCACACACACACACACACACACACACACACACACTGCCATCTTGACCATGTCACCTGTGTATCTGATCTGCTGACAATTAAGGTACCCTGAGATTCTGCCACAAAAGCCACCGATGAAAGGTGCCAGCAGGGGGCATCGGTAGCTGACTGTGTTTGATGTGCACGCTTACGTCTGTGGTGCTGCCATCGGCCCCCCCAGGTGGACTCTACCTCCCGCCCACCCTACACCCCCGCCACTCAGATGGCCCGCTCTGGTCTGGGATTCTGACCTCAGCAATTTTGTGGGTGTGACCATTATGACCGGCTATGTGGGGGGCAGGCGCGGGCCTTTCCGGCAGGCTCCACGGGATCCCCCCTCCCCACCCCACCCCCCGCAAGCTGGTGCTCCCGCCGCGCAGTAACTGACAGGGGGAGCGGCCTGGAGCAGGCGTGGGAGGACTGCCTTTATGCAAGGCAGGTGAAATGCGCCAAATTGGTACGTTTCATCATGCTGGACAAGGCGGCAGTGGTGACACCCCCGATCAGGTGCGCATGCATAATCGCCTCCAAAAATAATCACTGTTTTGAATAATTTCCCCCCAAAATCTTGCAGCTTCAACTTATTCCGGCGACGCGCCTCATAAATCTTCCCGATGAATGTAAATCAGGGATCCATATTCTGCCAACTCAGGGGCTCTAAAGAGCAGCGGCGAGTCGTTCCCTCTCCCCCCTGCTCGCGATCCCGAGCCGCCGTGCATCCCGGCCTCCGGATGGGGGCCACGCTCCCCCCTCCTCAGAGAGCCGGAGCACAGGATCCCACGTTATTAGGAATTCCCAGATACACAGCATTCCTGTGCCACAAAGATGGCTGCCGGCACAACCAAAATCATACAGCAGCTATACAGCCGTCATTTTATATATATACTGTGTGTAAATATGGTTTGTATGATATATAAACTGTGTAGTTTATATGCAAATATATTATTATACAGCAATTATTCAGTCATATAGTTGTTAAAGAATTAAAAATATGCGATACATTTTCTTCAGTGTCACTTTAAACAGATATTACAATCACATGCCTTTTAACTTAATAAAGTTGTTTAAAGTTGTGACACCCCTCCCCCCTCCCAGTGAATTCAGAGTTATAGATGCGTATACATATGTATGCATGAGCAAAAGCACTGAAACAATGGATGGCCCTAAAAATACATTGTGTTGTGTTTAATAGCAGGCGTCTTGCATGTAATTGATGGCCCAGAGGATGATGATTGGGGGGGGGGGTGGTCTCAGGAACAGCCGTGCCTGGGTGTCGCTTTGCCTCCTCCCTTTTGCCCTCGCCCCC